GCGTAGCTGATACCCAAGAGCACGAGAACGCTGCATTTAAATTTTCAAGGTCGGACGTGGGCAGGGGGTCATTGCCTTAAAATTTCGGCCCCTTAGATTTGGTGTTTCCCAAGATAATAATATACCCGCCATAGTTTTCGCGAGGCCGTTTGTGTTACCCACAGGCAAGGGAAGGCGGAATTTAAATTTTTTGGGCTGTATGTGGGAAGCGGACATGTCCACAAAATTTCAGCTTTTTAGCTGCCGTGGTTCCTGTGATAATAATTTTACCCGCTCAGACTTTTACGGGACCGTGCGGGTACGGAGAGGCTGAATTTAAATTTGCGGGGTCACACGTGGGTGGGGAACATTCCCCGAGTGTGTTTCCTGAGTTGAAAGTTGCGGACAAGTTGCTGCGGACACACATGCACATACACATACAACCCCGTGGCAGTGTGCGTTTTGTACTGCTGTTACACAGCACAAAACGCATAAAAAAGATTGTTGCTTTTAGAGCTTTAAATGTAAAATGGAATGCAAACTTTTGGTATCGTGATGCGTAATTGGTGTGTATTTCTATGTTGATCGTGAAACAACGTATTTGTGGGTAGGGGAATTTCACTTTATCTGCCTAACATAATCTATACGTAGCAGCTCAGAAACAGCCCCCAACTGGCGCTGATTGTTTTCATGGTTGCGAGCTGATCGTATTTATGCGAAGGGATACGTACTTTCAGATTGAGGAGCGATGGGCCAAAGATGCCACAGAGGAAAGGATTGCGCCAGTGCATCCGCCTAACTATGACAATTATATGATCGTACAAGGAAGTAGTGTGACCGCTAGCAGTCCGAGCGCACAGCAGTTACAAATAGTATGCATTTTTTGAACTTCTTTATTCATCATTTGTATCGATCCAGACATGTCAAATAAAAAGAATGCTGCACCTTGTACGTACAGCTGAAGCTTGATCGCCCTCCTAGTCACTGAAGTAACTCAGTGCGCCCCAGAATTGCCAAATTTTGGGACAAGGTAGTGATAATTAGCACAAGTCGAAGGTATCTTGAAACAGCTTATCCATTTCTCAATGCTTCTATTACGAAAGCCGTTAAGCCACTACGAAGCGATGCAGCATTAGTCGAAGCAATTGGAAAAGTTGCCAGCTACATAGTTGAGGAACCAGACTGGAAATTGATTCAAGCATTCCAGGCATAAGTTGGCATTCCAGGCATTCGGGCCCACTAGATGGATATTGAACGCGTATTCCTACACTGGCACTTTGACCATCTGTCGTTCCTGAACAAAGCACCGTTTTTTCGGCGTTTCCTTTCAGCCCCTCTAGGTTTTTTTCCGCCCTGTTTTATTAGGCCCTTAAAGAAGGGAAATCGCTTATTTCAGTTTAGCAATCCGAGCACGCATCGGCTCTTAATTCACTCCCAGATTTGTTTAATGCTGCAGCGCCAGTGTTCTTCTGCTCAGTTTGGCAACTTTTCTTTTACTTCAGAAGGTGGAGCCCTCACTTATTGAAAAATTAACGGCCAAACTTCGTTCTCTTCGTACAGAGCAGCAGGAAAAAAGGCGATCCATGCAGCTGTATCAGCAGGTAATCTTGCACATCATTGTTTTTTTTTTTTACCTTGGTACGTTACACAGTAGTCGTAAATACAAAAAACACATATAACTCGTTGAATCAAAAAGTTATAGTTTGATTGTAAAAAAGTGCTCAGCATTTACCGCGTGCAAGAAGAAGTAGCCAGACTGGTAAAAAATGTCAGCAACCACAACATGCTAGCAATCTTGTCGATGGTTTCCTCGCTAAATTACTGCTTAAAAGCAGCCTGGTAGCGGCTTCAACTTCCTGGTATGTGCCACTGCCGGTTTACCGCCAAAATGACTCTGTATATAGTTGATTGACGGGATATCCGAGTGGCTGAGTCGAATCCTCGAAATAGAGCTTGAAAAAAGTGCCACTCCCACGTTACGGTACCAATCAGCAACGTATTAATCATAGCGGTTTATTGGAGTTAATGATGCTTAAACAGATTCTGAAGTGTTTTAGTATATTTTCCACTATCGACCATCATTCATTACCTTTATACAGTTGTTTCACCCACTATTAGATCAGTACAAGTTAACTGTGGATTTGCATTGACTTAGTTAAATGTAGATCTGGATTTGCATTCACTTAGCTGTGTGTTTAAGGTGGAGCGCGAGCGACTGCAAATGCAAGCGGAATGTGAGGTTATGCGCATGCTGACCAGGAAAGCAAATGAAGGGCATCCATCGTTTTCAACTAGTAAGTTCAGTGTTGCAAATTAAGCAGCA